CCCCCCAACCCCCAAACAGCAACACGTTCCCTTCCAGCCTGAGGGGACACAGCTTCAACCCCATCCTCCCGCTTTGGGAGTGGAAATCAGTGCAAAGCGAGGAGTTTTTTCCCCCTTTAGCCCAGCACACGGACGCTCCTTCTGCCTTTTATTTTTTAATTCCCCCCCCCCCACACACACACACACACAAACACTCACACCCCCCTCCCCATTCCTATCCCCCAACCCCTCAGCGGAAGGTGATGAGCTTCCCCTCGCAAATAAATAAATAAATGGAAATAATAATAATAATAGTAATAATAGTAATAATAATAATAATAATAAAATAACGCTGATGATAAAAAAAAATAATAATAATAAGCCGAAAAGCCCCCGGAGAAAATGCAGCTGCCGGGCTGTGCGAGGCAGATTCTCAAAACCCCCAGATCTTCCCGCATATCTGGAGTTTTAGGGTCGGGTTCTCTCTCCCTCTCTCTCTCTCTCTCTAAGGTAATTTCATTTTATTGAGTACGGTCCTGGAAGCTGTAATGCCTCCCCGGTTGTAAACAAGAATGACTTCGACTTACTAGGGTCTAATTCGTGCTTTTCTTCTTTGTGTTTGCTGGAAGCGATGGCTTCGGACTCCGGGGAAGGAATTGTCTGCGCTGCTCTGTCTCTCAGCTCCCCGGGAGCCCCGTACATGTAATCCGCGAAGCCGCGCCCGTCCGCGGGGCCGCACTCCGCTCGTCTCCCGGCAAAGGCGTCGGGTTTGAGGCCGTAGGGGCGGGCGGCACCGGGAGCGAAGGCCGGGAACGAGACGGCCCCGGCGAGGGGCTCGAGCCAAGTCCTCATGTACCTGGGCTCGGCCCCCACGGGAGCCTGGGGGCCGTACGGGTGATGGTAGCCCACGGACGACTGGGAATGGACGGGAGCCCAGGAGGTTGTAAAAACGGCCGGCTTGGGGGCGAAACTGCACGAAGGAAAGTCGGCACAGTCCGGGACTAATCCTGAAGGTCTGGCAGCAGCCGGGTGGGAGGCAGTGGTGGGGAACCTGGAGGCCAAAAGCTCTTCGTTTTCGTGGCTTATCAAGGAGTCTACATAGTAGTTGCTTATGGGGCCAGAAGCCGACATGGTTCCCCCTCTTTTACATTCATAAGATTATTGTATGAACTGTATGTGTACTTTTTATCTTCTCATAGAACAATCAGGGCAGGTAATTATTTTTTCAGCCTTTCCCAGTTTGCCATTGGCTGCCCGCCCTCACGTGATTGTATTTACCCAAAAATATAGCGTGGATCAATCCGCAGGTCTTTTTTTTAATAGAGCCCGGGCGAACCGCTGCCCTTCGCTCAAAGCTCCGGAGCCGTCGGAGCGGGGGAGGCGGGGGCTGAGCCGCCCCGGGCCGGGCACTGCGGGGCCGGAGCCGGGGAGCTGGAAGTCAGCGGGGGAAGGGAGAGCAGGAACTATTTCCTGACGTAATTTGTCTCTGTCCTCCGATCCTGCGGCTTCTGGGGCTGAGAGAGAGACGGGAGGGAGGTGGGAGATGGGGAGGAAGAAGAGAGAGGGAGAAGTGTCCCGGAGTTGGGGGTAGGGGGGGGGGGGGGGTCCCGCAACCCCTCGTTGGGGTTGAAGAGCTCAGCCCCGAGCGCACGTGGATCTTTGGATCGTTTTCTCACCGATTTTTTTTTTTTTTTTTTTTTTTTTTTTTAAGCAGCGATGCTTGCAAGATTTCGGAGGAAGAGGAGAAGGGAGGAGGAGGTGGTGGTGGTGGTGCACGGGCACATCTATTCCTGCTTTCAGTAATAATAATAATAATAAAATAAAAGGATCTTCCGGAAGGAGGAGGGAGGGAGGGAGGAAAGGAGGGGAGGGCGGGGGGGGGGGGGGGGGGGGGGGGACAGACAGACAAACAGACAGACAGCAGCTCTGGCGCTGAGAGAGCCGCGTTATTCGACGAGAGAGCGGCCGGCCGGGGATGTTTTTATGCCCTTCAATAAAATTTTTACGAGGATCGTTTGATTGTTCATAAACGTGTCGTTCGTTAAATAAAACTGCGAGGCTGAGTTCGTGCCGGGGAAAACGGCGGAGCGGTGGGAGAGAGAAGCGCGGGGCGCTCAGCACAGCGCTGAGCTCCTCGGTTTGGTTTTGTATTTTTTTTGTTTTTAACCTCTCCTGCTTTCATTTCTGAGCGCGGTGTTGTTGTTGGGTTGTTCTTTTTCTGGGGGATATTTTTGCTTCTTTTCCCTCCTCCCTTCCTCATCCTTCCCCCCCCTTTTTTTTTTTTTTTTACGGGCAACTTTTTTTTTTTTTCCCCCTTTTCTCGCACCAAATCGATGGGAGAGAGTTTAAAAACAAACAAACAAACCAAACAACTCGGGGATGCCCTGACTGCGTGTTGGGAGGATAAGCTTTCCTTTGTAAGGATAGACAGGTAGGTACGTGGCTCACGCCCACTGGGGGCTGAAAGAATGGAGTTGGGCGATTTCTCTGCAAAGAAAGAAAGAAAAAGGACAGATATCCACCAAAAAAAAAGAAAAAAAAAAGACCCTTCTCTCTCTCTTTCTTTCTTTCTTTCTTTCTTTCTTTCTTTCTTTCTTTCTTTCTTTCTTTCTTTCTTTCTTTCTTCCCTTTTTTATTTTATTTTATTTTTTAAGAATCCGAACAACACACACGCACACACACACACACACAAAAAAAATCATAAGCCTGATTGTCCGGACTCCCCAGGACTATTTATCACCTCGGGTTTTATAGGGCTGGGGTGACGCGGTGGGGAGAGAGAGGGAAACGGGCAACGTTTGCAAGACGAAGAAAAAGTGGGGGCTCAGAAAGCGGTGATGGATTCCTACCCACTCCCCCCCCCCCCCCCCCCCCCCCCTTTAGGGACAGAGAGGCACCGGGAGGGCAGATTGTCCCCAATGCGCACGGCTTTCCCCAGCTCGGATCCCACGCAATCCCTGGACAGAATCGCATTTCATTTCTCGCTTTTTTCCTTTTCTCAGCATGTTGGAGGGGAAATTGGTACGTGAGTGAATCCGACAGATCCGGAGACAGACAGGCTGGGAGTGGGGCTGCCAGTAGAGCCCCCACCCCTTCCCCCGGACCCCCCCAAAGTCACGAACCTCAGCTGAGCCAACACCAAACGCTGCCCTTCACTGCACCGCGCTGCCCCTGCATGAGGGGTTTCCCCCTCGGAGAACAACAGGAAAGGCTTGGAAACAAAACCCCGACGGGAGGGATGTTTGGGGAGGGATTCGTGGTTTGCCAAATTCGAGGAGGAAAGTCATCCACAGAATTTATCCCTCGTTCCGTTCTGAGCCCCCTGCTTTATGAGAGCCCATAAAGGGAAATATTCCTGCAGGAGCAAACTGTCTTCTTTGGCCTTTATCGAGACCAATTTATTTGTCAATCACAGCTCTCCAATGACGGTTACTTTCACGTTCGCAAGGAAAAAAAAAAAGCAACAAAACGTATCTATAGACACACTTATCTGTGCTCGTCATTCTTTGATCTATTCCCATTTTAAAAAATAGTGACGGTGCGAAGGTGCTGAGATGCAGGGAGTGACGTGAAAGCAGCTCGGCTTTCCCAAATTGGTGGAATATCTGGGAGAATCCTTACAAAGAAGGGTTGTGTGTATGTGCAGGAGGGGAAGAGGAAGAGGCAGAGGGAGAAGGAGAGAGAAAAGGCTGAGCATGGGGGGAGAGGACCGCTGGGACTCAGTGGGGACGTTTTCCAGGGGAGAAATATGTCAGAATATACCACAGACGAACCGCAAAACGAGCAGAAATTACCCGAGCAGCGCAGCCCTAATGAGGAGCAGCAGTTTTTTGGAGCCTTCACGCGAGCAGGCAAGGTCACGGAATGAGTCGTGGATGGGGAGTTTTGGTGGTGGCACACAAAGGCGAACATATCTGGTGAAGATTTCTTTTATTGACACGGGAACGTCCGTTGCACTGAACGCTCCCCGCGTCGCCGTGGGCTCCGCACGCACTCAAACCCGCATAAAAAAACGCGTGAAACGATCGCGGTTGCCTTACGAAACCCCTTCCGTTCGGGGAGTGCAACGAGCAGTGCGAGGAGGAGATGGAGACACTTCACCTTACAGCAAACTCGGGTTAACGCAGCCTCCTCTCCCCCCTCTGTGCTGCGGAATCCCAAAACACGATGCGAACATCACCACCACTACCCCCACCCGCGAAACACTCTCCGTTCTCGCTCCTCTCGATCCGAATCCATCCCTCGTGGCTGCGCGCAAAGTTACGCGAATCAAAGTCCGCTCAGAGCAGCGGGATCCCGAGCATTCCTCCTGGCCAGAAACACCAGCAAAGATCCGCACCGCAATTACAGCACGCTTTGCCATCGCCTTCAGCTCCTGCAAGGTTATCTCGCAGCGTTTGTGCTCCTCCAAAGCTCCGGTTACCCTCTTGGAGGGGAGATGATCTCTTCTCGAAATGATGGTGAACCATCGGGTCCCTTTCCAGGCAGGCTCACGGCTTTGCCTCTCACCTCCTCTTTTCAATCTGCAAGGGGAAGGAACTTGGTGGCACGGAGCAAAACTAACGCTAGCAACCCACGAGCCGCAGGAATCCTATCTTACACTTCATTTTATTTGATTTCCCGGTGGAGGAGAAATAAAACAGATTAAGAAACAGTCTCTCCTGGCAAATGAGGAGGTTACAGAAGACGAAGCCTTTGTCTGAGCCATTGACTTCTGACACCTTTTCGGGGCTGAATGCTCCTTCCCATGTCCGCCCGCTCCCGGACAGTGCTGTGTGCTCAGCGCGGTGCATCCCTCTCCTCTCCCTTCCAAACCTTTTGCTTTCGCTTTGAGCGATTCTCCCCTGATTGGAAGGAGCGGAGACAAAAAAAAATAATAATAATAATCCTAATAAAATAAAAGCCAGAAGAGGGGAGGGAGAATAAAACCCTATTGGAGAGCTTACAGCAATGAGGTGACACTGATTTCTTGGATTTTCTTGCTTTTAAATTATTTTTTT